CGGAGGCCTATCATATGGGAGCAGTGAATTGAATGATATAGCCTAATTAAACTGCAGCTAATGCACCATCTAGCGAGCCATTGCTGCAATTTTTGAAAATCTTGAGATGTTCAACCAGTAGAACTGAGTCAAAACATTCAGAAATGGCCTGGCAATGCCCAGATGCAGGAGCTGGTGGCAATGCACGAATACGACTGAAAACTAGATGAGATGAGGTGAAGATGTTCCAAGCGCGTTTGAGCTTCAGCTGCTTGTGGACCTGGTAGGTGACAAGGCGCAATGGCGGTATGAGTGTGTTAGGTATGTTTTCAGCCATGAAGAGCTTAAAGGCATGCAAGAACTCAGTTGCGCCATGTTGAATGAACAGGGTAGACAGTGTGGTTCGCGGAAATGAAAAAAAAACTTGGCAATGTAATAGCGACACAGTGATGGGATAGATGAGAAATGTACATCTGTCTTGTTTACTTTTAAATCCTCAACATCTGACTCTTCACCCTTGTTCTTGGTACCCGTTGCTACTGCCTTCTTTGCAACGGCTTCTTGCTTGGCGACTTCCCTCTCCAGGACGCATGTGTTGAGCCAGTCGATGTATGCAGAGCGCAAGTCCAGGGCATCGTTGCAGCATAACCAGGTGGTCATGTTAGCGATATAGTCCTAATAATTACTGGCACGGTAAGCATGCTTTGCAAAGTCAATGTGGAGTCATTCTGACAGCTCAGCATTGTAGCCATCTGCCATTCCATTCTGCCATATGTTCTCGACATAATGGCACAAGGAGTGCAGCTTGGGTATGTTAAAATGCTTGCAGACGCCTAGCTTAATGAAGACATCCTTGTACTGATGAAATGTCACCAGAGGTGGTGATATGCATCTGGAACTGAGCGTAATACACAAAGTCAATCAAGGCCTGAATGACTGTGAGAACTGTGTTGTTTACAGCACTTGCAATGAGTGCCACAAAAATCATCTGCATCTCTTTGTGTTCTGTACCTGTCCACTGAGAAACATGTGAGATGCCCTTAGAGAAGTGGCAGAGACCTGGTGCATTTGCCATTGCTTTGAAGCAACGGTTGCACTCATCTTCCCTAATGATCTCCATGATTCACTTCACTAGGTGATCCTTAAACATGCCTTTGTGAAGCCAATGAAGGATGTCTGGAGTGATGCACAAGAAGATGTCGCAATGTGAAAGATCTGACCAGAATGGCTTGTACACAGGTTGAAGACCCTGCAACTCGAACTGAGGTGGGTCCAGGCCGTTCTTATGCTGTGTGAAAATGTCCAGAGTTTTGCTGACCTTTTGCGGTGTGCAACCAGTAATATTGCCTCACTCATTTGGGTCCACAGTACCACATGGACAGTAATTTTCCTTGATGTTGACCACGAGGCACACTTCTAGATGATTGGCAATGTAGGCAGCAAGAATCAGATACATACAGTGAACTTTACCATCTGTGCAAACCATCTTGACATTATCTTTTTCTGCCGAAACAAGTGGCTGGAGAATAATTCACATGCAGTAATGGAAGAGACGATATTCAGCATTGGAACATGCTTCTTCAGAAAAGTATTCGAGTTTTGAGACAGGTATGTAGCCCACAAGTATTGTTGCATGTGAGGAGACCTGGCGTCATTTGTCCTTTGCAATGTTTCTGATAGATAAGTATACTGGCCATGCTGTCTGGTCGCCACAGAACTGGGACAGCTTTGTCTTATCAGACATAAGAACAACAGGTGCTATGGTCACCCCAGATGGGAGATCTTTCTGATTGGAGTGTAAGTCTACACTGTGTCTGTGCAAAGATGCTTTGGCTGAGTATGGACATACCTGTCTCTCTCACCACCAGTCTGCTGTCCACATATCATCAACACAGTGTTGCTTCCCTTCTGCATTAAGGAACACGTGCTCAGGTGCGTATGTTATACAATTGCAGAACATGGGGTTGCCAATGAGCTCACGAATACACTCAACAGAGTCATGCCTCCAGATCTCTAGCTTCTCAGTGAGCAGCTTTCTGTTATTGCCCAGCTTATCTCCAGTGAACGTAATTTCATTTAGATGCCATTGTTGACTTCCCGCTGGAAGCTCATCAAGTTCTTGGAAGAACTTGTACTTGCTTTTTGCACCGAGGTCAAGCTTGCTGATCTGCCAACCATATCAAGTTTGATAAGTCCAAGTTTCTGTAATGATGGAGATGTAGCTTTGGCTCACCATGTTCAATTTCAAGAACTCATCAATCTTATTATGCCCGAGAGACTTTGCAAGGAACCTCGCAAGCTCCCACTCTTCCTTACTGCTTTAAGGAGCCCAGGGCTCCCTCTTCTCTCGCTTGTCTTCCCTCTCCATCTGCTCTAAATGCATGGTCCTGGAACCCAAGATTGTGCCAGCTTCTCCCTTATAGTACTGGTAGAAACAGTGTTCACCACTGTCTTCACCACTGTCATTTTCAGGTACATCTTCAACCGTTGCATGTTGAGCTGCTGCAGGCATAGAAAGTGCCACATTTGGATATCTGTCATCCAGAGGAAGCAGATCGACAGATTATACCCTCTAAACAGAGGTCCTTTCTGGGTTAGAGGATGCCTTATGGCATGCACAACTTGAAAATAAGAAAAGGTAATGAAGCTGGATGATAAATAACACAGGAGCATTAACACTGATATACCCGATTATGCACAGTGGCACAATCGGGCATGAGCTCTTTGCATGCTTGAGACATTTAATCTACATTGGATAGGTACAGTACTTATACCCGATTGTGCACAGTGGCACAATCGGGCATAAACTCTTTCTGCAGGCATTATACCCGATTGTGCACAGTGGCACAATCGGGCATGAGCTCTTTGCATGCTTGAGACATCTAATCTACATTGGGTAGGTACAGTACTTATACCCGATTGTGCACAGTGGCACAATCGGGCATGAACTGTTTGCACACAACTGCACAATCAGGTGTTGATCTAGCTGTTTCAGCAGAACAAACTTGGTGGAGATAATGTAGTGTGTTTATATACACCTATAAATGACAGTAGAGTAATTCCGCTTAGCTGCATACAAGCTGTTGTTGACCAGTAAAGCTTGCTGAACAAGTTGCAAGTGGATGGATCTTTTACAAGCTACTGCCAAGCAGCTACAAAGTATAGCAAACTTGGTGGAGGTGATGAGAAGTATTTATATACAC